GCTCCCAACAGTATCCCACCCAGACACCGAAACCGCCAACCTCACCCCTGCCAACGTCTACCTGAGCCGAAAATAAGCTGCACGCTCAAAATGGAGGGACACTGTACAACGTTCATATTTAACCCTGTCACAGAAGGACCCAGTAGTGATTTCATTTTCTTACTGAATTCAATAAAACCTGAAAGTTTAAATTGATCTGCGCCTGGCACAGAATTCCACGACTCCTGCAGAAACTAGGTGCTGGTGAGTTCGCAGGGTCTGGTGTTCCATTACCAAACCTAGGAGCCACCTACACATTAACAACAAGCCAAGGCCTTCACTTGTGATATTGTCAAGTTGCCTGTAATCAGGTTAGTCCAGGATGCTCCTAGGGGCTTTAAAATACCCCTGTTAAGTTCTACTTGTTTACTCAGTTGACTAGCTGGGGTTAGTCTACTTCAAAAAGAGGCAGCAGAAAGGAAATCACCATTCTAAGGAAGGCTGGGGTGGTGGTTCTCTCTCAGGAGGACACCTGCTGCTGACTTGCTCAACTGCTTCTGGGTTACTGAATGGAGAAGTGCTGCTGCTTGTGGTTCCCGAAGACTACATCAGAAGTGAAGCGGGAAGAGCTTGCCATTGACTTACCACCTGGCCCTGGACACTTCACTAAACCTGCCTGCTTCAGTAGCCCCACTTGTAAAATGGGGCTTATACTGCCCTACCCATAGAGCACAAGGGTGCTGGCAAATCAGTCTGCACAGAGATATACAGTAGAACCACAGAGTTACGAACTGATTGGTCAACCACCCACCTCACTTGGAACCGGAAGTATGCAATCAGGCAGCGGCAGAGCAAAAAAACAACCCGCAAATACAGTACAGTGCTGTGTTAAATGTAAACTACTAAATAATAAAGGGAAAGTTTAAAAAAAGATTTGCCAAGGTAAGGAAACGGTTTCTGTGCTTGTTTCATTTAAATTAAGGTGGTTAAAAGCAGCATTTTTCTCCTGCACAGTAAAGTTTCAAAGCTGTATTACGTCTATGTTCAGTTGTAAACTTTTGAAAGAATCACCATAACATTTTGTTCAGCGTTACAAACATTTCAGAGTTAGGAACAACCTCCATTCCCAAGGTGCTTGTAACTCTGAGGTTCTACTGTATAGTCAGCATAGAATTAGTGATTCAGAAGCAGAAAGTGAAATTAACTAAAAACTGACTAGTTTAGTTTCCCTCTCCAAGATGAAAGAAATCTAAGATGTGAACATACTGGGTAAAATTTTCAAAAGTCACCTAGCAGCCCAAGTCCCATTGACATTTAATAGGAGTTGGGATCTCAGGAAGTCATTTAGTGGGTAAAACTCTTTTAAAAGAGACCATCAATTAGCAAGGAGTAAGATTGTAATTTGTAACATCTGACTTGATTGTTAGATGTAGCAAGCACTGATCCCTCCCCCTGCCCCAAACTGCCATGGGAGCGACGCTGTTATAATGAAAGGTGGAAGTCCGCAAGGTGAGGAATGTCTTTGAAAAGTGATTTTATTTTTTCCTTTTATAATTTTCCCCCTTTAATCTGGTTCCATGTGTCCACAGTCTTCTGCAACTGTTGCATTTTCCACCGGGGTACAAGGGAAGAGTTATGTTTTCCCCTTAATAATGAGCATGCAAGGTAGCCATACTTTATCATCCTTGTCCAGGCTGCAGGAAGCAAACCTGTTGCGCTCTGATAACATTGTAAGAAATCCTTTTAGCATTTGAACCAATTGTTTCAGCACCCCAGGCCCTTACCTCAAACAAACCAGGGTTTGTTCCTCTTATGCAGCCCTAGACCAGCATTCTCAAAACTTCCTCTTATTTTCTTTTAAAACTTGAGTCTCCAAAGAACAAACAAACTTTTCCTCCTGCTTCCACTCCCGGCAATGTTGCAAACCTAAACAAATTCTTAAGAACAGCATGATTCATGCAGAGCTAAAGGCACCGCAAACCAAATGTACTTCAGAATTGATTTGCCTTGATGGACCAGGGATAAGCGACCGGTTAGAGTTACAGCATTCATCCTTTTTATTAAAGTCAGTGAATGCTGGGGTGGGTGAGTTCACTCCCTGCAATATCAGCAGGAAGATCGGGCTGAAAATGGCAGACAAGAATGCACAGGTGATGGAACCTAGGGGTGCTGCTGCACCCTCTGGCTTTAAGTGGTTTCCATCAGGCACAGGGTTTACAGTTTGGTTCAACGGTTCTCAGCCCCCCCACAAGAACTCAACCGTTAAGAAGAATGAGGAGGATGGGGGTGGGAATTGCATCTCCATGATATAACCAGCATATAACAGGCACAAAGTTGAAATAGTTCCACGTGCCACAGACTCCTGCACCTGTGTAGAGGATGAATCACCATGCTATGCTAGAGCAATTAGAGATGCATAAGCAGGAAGAAAGAGGGAAACAGCAGAGCTGGGATTAGCCACTTCAGAAGGGTTCACTCACTTACCCAGAGTTACCACCTAGAATCATAGAATCTCAGGGTTGGAAGGGACCTCAGGAGGTCATCTAGTCCAACCCCCTGCTCAAAGCAGGACCAATTCCCAACTAAATCATCCCAGCCAGGGCTTTGTCAAGCCTGACCTTAAAAACCTCTAAGGAAGGAGATTCCACCACCTCCCTAGGGAACCCATTCCAGTGCTTCACCACCCTCCTAGTGAAAAAGTTTTTCCTAATATCCAACCTAAACCTCGCCCACCGCAACTTGAAACCACTACTCCTTGTTCTATCATCTGGTACCACTGAGAACAGTCTAGATCCATCCGCTTTGGAACCCCCTTTCACGTAGCTATCAAATCCCCCCTCATTCTTCTCTTCTGCAGACTAAACAATCCCAGTTCCCAGAGCCTCTCCTCATAAGTCATGTGTTCCAGCCCCCTAATCATTTTTATTGCCCTCCGCTGGACTCTTTCCAATTTGTCCACATCCTTCTTGTAGTGTGGGGCCCAAAACTGGACACAGTACTCCAGATGAGGCCTCACCAATGTCAAATAGAGGGGAATGATCACGTCCCTCGATCTGCTGGCAATGCCCCTACTTATACAGCCCAAAATGCCGTTAGCCTTCTTGGCAATAAGGGCACACTGCTGACTCATATCCAGCTTCTCGTCCACTGTAACCCCTAGGTCCTTTTCTGCAGAACTGCTGCCTAGCCATTCGGTCCCTAGTCTGTAGCAGTGCATGGGATTTTTCCATCCTAAGTGCAGGACTCCGCACTTGTCCTCGTTGAACCTCATCAGATTTCTTTTCGCCCAATCCTCTAATTTGTCTAGGTCCCTCTGTATCCTATTCCTACCCTCCAGCGTATCCACCACTCCTCCCAGTTTAGTGTCATCTGCAAACTTGCTGAGGGTGCAGTCCTCACCTACCACCCTCCTGGGCAGCAGAGTGCCACCCTGAATCAAAGATCCTCCTTTATAAACAATAAAAGGGCATCCTCCTTTATAAACAATGCACCTGTCACTAGCTATCTTGATCCCCAAGATAGCAACTGGGTGCAACAGGAAGTACAAAGGGAATGTTAGCTACCTAGGAATAATATTTTATAGCACTTTCCCACCAAGGATTTCAAATATGCTTTGCAAACATCCCTGAGAGAACTGTATCATCCCAAAGGCCCAGAAGGGGGAACTGCCTTGCCTGGGCTCACATAGTGGATCCGTGGCAGAAGCAGGAATAGAACCCAGGGCTCCTGACTCCCAGTCCTGTGCTTTAGCCACAAGACCAGCCTTCCCCCTACAGGAGACACCAACAGACATTTATAGCCCCTTGGAAGTATTTTTTCCTATCACAGCATGGCCAGAAAATAGGTTTGGAAAGTGCATCTAATTCGGGATCACAGTTCCATTTACACTGTAGAGCAACGTCGTGACCGCACAG